CCGTATCGATTGACTCTGTACTCCGCCGGTGTTCGGATGTTCCGCCCAGCGAAACTTGGTAAAACCCTCGGTTGCCCCTGATAGGACGAGGAGCGTTGGTGACAGAGTCGAAACTCATATTACGGTTGTGCTGTGACCCGGGGAAGAGCCAGCTCGACACCCGGGAAAAAGACTTCTTCTTCCTCAGAGGAGGTCGAAGTACTAAAGGTAGAGGTGGCGGTGGGGGCATATCATCTCGCCTTGGGCGAGAAGGAGGGGTAGAAGGTGACCTTTGCTCACCAGGAGTTCGGGATCTGCGAGGTGGTGTGATGGGAGTTCTCACAGGCGTACGAGGAGACCTGATGGGTGCTGTGTGTGGCCTTTCAATGATATCGGAGTTGAGTCGCTGCGCAAAAGAAGGAGCAGCTGGGGGCAGAGCCGGAATTGACGGCATGGGCTCCAGGTCTGAAGAAGTCAGCGGGAGCGGTTCGTCACCAGGTCCGTAGATCGAGCTCATACCGGGCATGGTTCGGGCGACCGAGTGGGGTGTTGGTGGTCGACTGGGAACATATAGACTCTGTCTCTCGATGACATCGTCAATCTGCTTCTGGAGCTTTTCAACCTCTAGCATAGCACTCGCGACTCGTTCCTTGACCTTTTCCACATCTGGTGAGCTACACGCACGAGGACGACCCCGTGACTTGGGGGGAATTAAGGGCGGGATCTCATCTTCTCCATGAGAGGAACTGGGAGCACTCCCCAGCGCTTGGCGGCGTGGAAAGTGAAATGACATGGGAGAATCTGAGAAGCTCTTCTGGTGCTCCAATGAAGGTTTTACTTCTTCGGGTTGGCTATCTGACAAATCTGACACACTCTCAGAATAGTCTGATGAGGGCGCCGGATTCGCAGGCCTTGGTTCAAAGTGAGGCATGATAGGAGATACAACATTGTCGGCCTGATAGATGCTCAACTCGAGCGGGCGGTAAGGACGATGAGGTAACTGTTTCGCAGGCCGAAGGTTCGAGGCTCTCGACGGCGTAGGTTCAGGATAATCAAGAAATGGGTCGGCGGCAGTTGATACATGGCGAAAGTCTGAAGGGGCTGAAATGAGCGGCCGGCGCGAACTTGAAGAGAGTGACCAGAATCTCCTTCTCTTTGACGAGACACTGTCTCTCGTAGACCTCTCCGACATTTTACGATGCTCCAGCATTGCAACAGGCTGGGGATGGTGAATTGGTTGGTCGTATATTACTGGATATGAACGCTTCTCATCGACTTGGCCTATCAGCAACTGGTCGTCGCTCAACCTGCCTACGGGCCACGAAATGTTCAAAGTTGAAGACGAATCCGAGGCCCAAGCATTGGCAGAGGTAGAAGTAGACATAGACTTACTACGACGCGGCCTCCTGTCCTCTGAGGAGACCAGCGGTGCGCAGCAGAGAGATAGCCACGATGGCCAGGAAGCTGCTTCAGAGCCATGGGCACCGTGAGAGCCGGCGTGTGTCATGCTGCGAAGCTCTCACGTCATACCGAGAAGGCGTTAAGAACGTTGAGTGAGAAGAGAATGGCGGAGAGGAGGACAATTCGTTACTCAACGAAGTGAAAGAAAAATGGCCGAGAAGCTGAAAGACAGACCAACGTATGGGGATAAGGTGGGATATGAGTGTGTATGGAAGTACACTCCTTCGTATATGTAAGCCAGCACCAGTACTAGCACCTGCAGAAGAGGAATGGGACAGGACAAGAAGTGAAGCAAGACGGGAAAGCTGCAGGAAGAGGACCAGGGACCCGGCAGATAAAAGAACAAGAGGAGCAAAGCAGCGGCAAGCAACTTGTAATGCAGCCCAGCCCATCTCGTGGATGACGGCCGGGCCGCGACGTTCCCATGGTGGTATATCCACACCCATAGAGGCAACAAAGGACAGTATTGGCACCCATGATGCCCCTGCTACAAGTCTGTAGTGGGATCTGGGTTGGTTTCAGGCCCCGTTACGATCGAAATTTAGAAAATTAAATAAGAAGAAAAATGGGCGGCAGCCAAGGGAGATGCAAGACGACGTATCGAGTGGTTGACGATTGTCCAAGACGAACCCACGGTGCAGGTGATGGACCGGGGTCGGTTGTCTCGCCGGACCAGTCGGCGCTTAGAAGACGGTCCTGAAGGACTCCCGATCATGTTAGCGCTCCACACCAACTCTATCAAACCACCACAGAGACACATTGACTGGGCCACACGTAGTGCCCGAGATGGTGTCGCTGTTGCCCTTGGCTTAAGTCTAGAGAGTCGAGTCAAGTCGATGTCGTGCATTTGGTCCCACTCTATTCCACTTCCAACTCGCCCTCTGGGTGGTCGTGGATCCTTCCATTGACTTTTTGGTCTGCTTGTCCTTGCCACAAAAGACCCCAGGCAAGGTCTCGTGCTGCTGCCGTATTGGATAGCCGCGTGAGATGACGGGGTTTGAGGCCTTTGCCTGTGTCCGAGGCTGTGTGTCGTCACGCTGCGCATTTCTCACATTCTCTTGTCGAACTGGTGTGAACTTGGGTCTTGGCGAAGGCGTCGTCAAAACATGAGTTCCATTCATACCCAAGTTTTCATTTGGTCTGGCCTGACATGTAACCTTGAACAAGAGACGTTCTTCGTCAGACGTTGTACAGAGCGCATGTTCAAACAACAAAGGTCATAGCTTTTAGCCCTGCTCTCTATGGTAAACACACAACAGAAGCTTGCCTCGCTTGCTGGCTCCTAGTGCAAATCTTAGCCTTGTCGGCTCTGTTTGCCTTCCTTGAATCGACATCTGACGTTGCATCCATACCCAGTACATCTTATTTGGGGTTGCACCGCCGGTTTGGGCAATACCCTGGTCCTCCCGGGCTGATTGGCAGATGCACCCCGGAACCTGGTCTCTTCATCATCTCTTCTCTATCAAATCGGTATGCTGCACGTTTTGTTACTCTTCCACCTTGCGACTGACGACCGCGTTTGTCTGTGAATTGTGAAAAGCTAGGGTCTCTTGAAACGTGGGAGCTTCAGGAACGCCTGTCAATCTGCCCTCTCATCGAATCCGGATGCTCCTTTGGGCCGGGCTTGTTAGTACTTGGCCAAAGAATTGGTGGCTACATCCTAAAACAGCCATGAGAGATGTTTCATGGCACCTAGAATAGTGATGAGCACGAGGCCATTGTGATGACCCGTATTCTGGCGTGAGCTGACACGATACGATTCGCCTGCCTTGAAATCTTGAGACAAAATGACTAAACGATGATAGTCCCGAAATTTTAATATTTGGCGCTGGTAGACCAGAACGGCTGAAATGCATTGCTTGGCCCTTCAGCGGTATCTGACGGTAAGCGGCCATACTACGTTGATAGCAATGTCGTATTGCAATTGCCTCTTCATCTCTCAGTCGTAGAAACAATGCACAGCCCGGCATTTGTCTCAGTGAGAGTCATCAAAACCACTAAACATCAATCAACAAACAAGGTGGGATGGCTAGATGGCTAGGATGGCTTCATTTGTGGAGTCAAGAGGAAGTGTGCCAGAAAAGTCTTGTTTAGGGCACCTCAGCTCAAAGAGACAGTGGAAGGGTCAGACCGTGTAGTTGGGTCGGTGTCAAGCCTGATCGACAGCCGGACCGCTCCCTGTTGCTGCTGCAAACATCCAGGGTTGTTGCATAGCTTAGTAGGGAGTCGCGTAGTGTTGTTTGCTTTTGGACCCTGCGAGCAAAATTCCGTTGCGCTTCCTTCCGCTGCCTTGTCTTCAGACGAAAGTGATTATTGAGGGTGGTGCCCCTGACTTTGCCATTCCTTGGTTCTTAAAATAGCGACTCTTAAGTTGAAGCATGCAACCTTGGCTTGGCTAGGTAGCTTTTGGCAGGGATGCATCCAGAGTCCCTTCGGTTGTAATCCAGTATGATGAAAAGATTTAGGCAAGTCTAGCGTAAGCTAGAGGGCCTTTACATTGGCTATTTTTGTCACTAAGGATAAAGGCCCTGGGTTTTCTTGCCTGCCCTTGGGGGATTTTTAAGATAATGGAGACAAAGCCCGTTCACATGCGATGGTGTGTTCTCCATCAAGCGCAAAATAGCAGATGATGGATGTTCAAGTGGCGATCTTCAGTCATTCTGACTGGCTTTTTTTTTTAGATCATCCCGTACAAGGCGCAATAATCAGTTCGGAGGTCAACCTGTCTCAGTCTTGACTTCGGGAATGGCTGGAGAAAAGACGGAGGATCCTCTCAAGTCTATTTTCCTTGTTTCTTGCGCAGTTGGCTCCTTCCACTCTGCAGCGGCGGATGCAACGGGAGTGGCGCATTTTACTTCACGATGTGGGATCGATGCGGCCTTGTCGTTTTGTGAGTGGAGTTGTTTGACTTGTTTGACTCATTCTGTGTGGGAAGAGTAGCAGTCGATTAGAGGCTCATGGAGATGACTATCTTCAGCCAAGGTTGATTGCAAGGCAATGTTGTATTATGCAATGTAACCAAGTCATGACTTCACTTATCCACCACTCCAAGGAAATGTTGAAGGCATTGGAACAGCGAATGTAAGATGCTGAGAGCAGCAAGCAAACCACCTCTTGCTTCAGGGAACCATCTAGTATCCTTCGCAATGCCTCTGCCGTCCCAACGTACAGACAAGTTCTTTTGTGCCATGGTGTGTACCTTGAGCTTTTGAACCGCCAAAGTCCAGTCTCTCAAAGTACAACAGCCACAAGACGAAAAAACATATTTAGTGGCCAAACAGCACCACAGATGATGGCGAATAGGTGCTGTCAATTGAAATATTGTTGTTCCACGTCTAGATTCGTGAGGTTCCATGTCATTGGACCCATGACTAGAAGAATCGACAGATACCTAAACTTCAACAGGGCGGGTAATAGATCTACCGACCGTACTCCACACTGCTTGTCCCTGATTCCGAATCTGGCAGGCGGAATAGCGGTCACGCGTGGCAAAACGCCAAAAAGTCAAGTAAATTCATGGATTAGAGATCTAGATTGCGACAAGCTCCGTGGTGGTCAAAATGGGCAAACGAGACTTCAACAGCGGAGATGGCGCTGCCGCTTTTCGCAAGCGCCAGAAAGTCGTCCACGAGACTCCAACGAGCGAAGAAGTCACCTCGAGCGATCAATTGCGCAATCTGCTGTCCTTCGACCAGGATTTGCGCAACGCCAGGCATGGTAAGTGACGATGCTATTGAAGGCACCAACGAACTACATCTGATACATACCCCTATAGGCCTTCAGTCTTTCAAGAATCTCCTCGATCAAATAGTTCACGAAGAGGGTGGCCGAAGAGCAAACCTCGACATTCTACATCAATACCTTGAAGCCGTCAAGCCCAGAGATGCATCCGAAGATGCAGTCTTTCTCAGCGATATCATGGAAATGTGGTCTTTCGCCGTGCAGGTTAACAACGATGGTGTCATATCTTCTGTTGCCGTTGTTTTGGCTTTGCTACTCCAGATCCTCTCAGGCTCACTACAGCTTGTCAAGCATGGCCTCGGTATCTGCCAGACCCTTCTCCAAGAGCAGCAACTGAAATCATTGGCAAAAAATCTGTCAGCAGAAAAGAGCAAGGGTTTTATCATCTCACCTACTCTCCGTCTCCTTCGAGAAGCTACATGCCTAGATGGAGGCGCCTATGCGAAGCGAATCTTCCGCGCTCGAAATTTCACATTGACATCGTTTGGACGAAATCTTGAAATTGGGCATGTTGGAGATACGCAGGAAGATGTGCGCAAGGCTTCTGTCAGAACAAATGCTGTCCGTTTTTTTCTGAGCCTTCTCAAGTTCCTAGGTTCAGATGGACGTAAAGAACTTGTATCGCAAAAGGAACTTTTGTCACATGTGACTTACATGATCAAAAGCGACCCAGCCTACCTCGTTGTGGATATTCTCGACTCTCTAAAGCTCTATGTCCTCAAAGATGACAAGATCCCTAGGGAAGTCAAATTCCGATGCTTCAACACCAAGTCGTTGGTGCGCTTCTTGGCTCTATACACATACAGCAGCGATGGCGAAGATGTCGATGAGAAGTCAACGGTGAGCCATAAGGCCCACCAACTCCTCATCTACATCTGCACGACGCCTACAGCTGGTATTCTATATCCGTCCACTGGTCTATACCCCAAAGAGTCTGAAGACGACCCAGCGCCAAGTGGGCGTGCGGAGGCTGGTACACAGGGTGCTCTCTTCGCCCAAAGATACAAACAAGACATTCCTGTGTATAACTTTGTCCTTGCCGAATTCGCTCAAAAGTTGCGTCCTTGGTCCAGTTTGAAACATAGCGAGCTTTTGGTAGCAATCTTCACCTCTGCCCCTGAACTTACTGCAAAATATTTTCTTAGCAACCGATCTTTCACGTTCGAACCCAAGTTATCCATGACATGGATTGGATATGCCGCCTTTCTCTTCAACACTATACAACTTCCTCTCCCTCCTCGCTTCGGAGACCGATCGCGATCTGCCAAAGCACCTCCTCCCACGTCCATCCTTCTAGACAACATTATTCCGCTCCCCATCAATCAAAAAGTTCTGATCCGGTGTCTTTCCTCCAAATCCAACCTCACATCTTTCTTTGCTACCCGCATTCTGATCGTGGCAATTGAGAAGTTAGCTGAAGCTATCAAGATGCATGAAGAGGTTTCAAAGGGCAGTGATCCTGTCTGGGCAGAAGCTAGCCGTCGTTTAATCGATGCTTTTTGCCAACGTATTCCGGACATGAAAGAAATCGTTCGGTCTTACAAGGGAACACCAGCTGAGAACATTCTCCATAAGACCATGGCCAGTCGTTTGCTACGCCTTTACTATGAAGTCATTCCACAAGTTGCCCTTGCTGCCAACTTTGATGTTTCGCCTTTCTTCACAGAAGTTCTCAAATCGCTCAACAAGAAAAGCGAGCAGCATGAAGACGAGTCACTAAGAGTTATGGAGCTCGAGAACTTGGTATCAATTGCCAGTTATTCCCCTGGTATGCGTTGGTTCTCAAGGATAGACAATCTCATTGATGGAGCAGGATCGTCGCCATACACCGCCCTCCTGCGGCTTCTTTGTAATAAGAAGCGAGATCTTTCTTTCCAGCAGCTCAAGAAGGTCCTAGGCGAGGTCGCAGTTGAGAACCAGATGGTAACGAAGGCGTCCCTGATGAGCTCTCTATTCGAAGCCCTCCAGACAACGCTAGCCGATGTCAAGGCAAAGCCAATGGAGAAAGTTTGGTCATATGTTGACAACTGCGTCAACCGGTGTGCCTCGTCGCCCATCAAGTATCTCGATTTGTTAGAAACATATGCCCAGGAAGATGGTGTATCACCTGGTAGTGAGACTGCTTTGGTTGACGTGACCCTGGTAGAGCAGTTGTCATTCGCAATGGGCTCTGCTAGCAGCGATGAAGAAGCTGCGCTTGGCCAATTCCTATCTTTCTACTTCTCTACTTCATACAAGTTCAAGCCAGGAAAACAACTCACCAAAGCTCTACACAAACGCATCTTAGAACAGTTTTCATCAAGCAAGGTCAAGATGAAAAAGCTCGAGGAGGAAAAGTCTGATGATGAAGATGCTGATGAAGATATGCCTGATGCCGATACAGTTGATGCGAATGGTTCAAAAGATGGCTCGACCATTGATTCTTCAAGGCTCGAGGCTATGCTGCTTGTACCACTCCCCGAAGACGAGGATACCACAGCTTTGACAAAATGGGCTGGCAAAAACGCCGAAGACCTCGTTGAAGACGGCTGGGCAGCAGCTCTGATTCGCCTCCTCTCCTCTCCCCATACCAACATCCGCAAGGAATCTCTCACCAGCATTCTCAAGATGGCTGCCAAGCTCAAGGATTCTTCATACGAAGAAAAGGAACAAGTTTGGCTCCTCTTGTGCGAACTTGCCGAGTCATCGCGTGATGAAGTTGAAAAGGGCCCAGTCCCCTCTGCCTTCACTGCTTTCGCCATCCACGCTCTGGATGTCTTGAAGAATCCACTCCACCCGCTCTACCCCAAAATCAACAGCTTCCTCACGCGCAGCCCCGTCTGGTCTGCTGACAAGCTTCCCCTCGTCCACGACATTCTTCACGGTGAACCCTCAGAAGATGATAAGTATTACACCGAAATCACATGGCTTCTGACCTACCTCCTTGACAGCTTGCGCACACCCTCTGACCTTGACATCTTTCATCGCAAGCGATGGTTCGAGAAGATACTCGCTCTGGACGCTAACCCTCACTTGCGTGTCAATTTACGCACTCGTTTGCTGCGTCTATTGTATCGCGCGACTTGCATCGAAGGCGGTAGCACCACGTTGACGACTCGCTTCGGCATCCTCTGCTGGTTAGACTCGCAACGGGCTGCTTTTGAGGGAGGTGAAGAGGCAGATGTAATGGTTGCACTCATGAAAAGGGTATGGGAGACATGTGATCAAGAAAAAGTCAAGGTCTGGAGTAAGGGAGGCGTCGAAAAGTTACTTGCCAGGCATGATTTGTAAAGGTGAATGGATTGGATATATAAGCTATACAAATTTATACATATGACTGTTAATACCCAGCCTAAGGACGACAAGACTTGCGCTTATTATCAAGGAAATGACCATCTGCTATTAGGCACTCGAATGCTCGCGACCTGTGCAGTCGACTTTAAGCATCAATTGAGAAATTCGTGGAGTAAATGTTATCACTGAAACAGCATTGTTCAAATTTGTTCGTACATATGTACAGATCCCATCCATCTACCAAACAATAACCAGAATGGACACCATAAAGACGACAAAATATATATGCCTTTGGACACAAAGGATACTCTCCGTCGCTAACTACCCCACGCATTAATATGGATAAGAGCAGCCTTTTTGTTCTGCCGTTAACAAAAATGTTGAGTTTTTAATTTCCCATCCAAAATTCGCCGTTGTAAAATATGAACGCACTTCAAAACAGATATAAACAAGATAATTGGAAGTCTGAATAGGCATTATAACGACCGTCTCAATGGATACACGCTGAGTCTAAACAGTCTACAGTTGGCCAGAAAGCAGAGCTTCAGTTGCTGAGAAATTGTTAGCATGAGGTCGAACGAAATGCATGGGTCAGAAAGTATTGACTTACCAGAGTTGATGTAGGCCCTCTTCGCGTCTAGAGGAACGTTGAATCGCCTCTCCAGCTCTTGCTTAATGCCCTTCTTGGTGACAGTCATCAAGTCAGCTGTCTTGAGAATGTCGCGAATCTCAGCGAGGAGGGCATCATCACTGGGCATGCCAACCATCTCCTCGGGAGAGAAGAACTGCGAGCCACCAAACTGGCTCGCACGGTTGCCAGGCATCTCAGAATGGGCCAGGGACATGCGAGACATGTTCTGGTGGCCGAAGCCAGCTGTTGAGCCGGGGCGACTGGGCTGGTAACCACCACCGTACTCAGAGAAAGGTCCCTGAGCCTTGGTGGCATAACTATAACCAGAGATCTCTGATCGCACATCGTCACGAGCAGTCTGGGTCTGTGTCTCCCAGAGCTCGGCTTGGTACTCCTCCCACTTCTTGCGAGGGATCGAACTGGGATCAAATTTGCCCTCGTCTGAAACAACGATCTTCTTACCAGCTTCGCCAGCAATAACGCGAGTGTTACCCCAGTTGAAGTCATCCATGTGCCAGAAGGAGTACAGGGGCAGACCGAAAGAGAAGACAGGAATGGCGGCAATGTACATAATCATCCAACCAACCATCTCCCACTTGCGTCGGAGGATGAAGATGACAGCCTGCAGACCGTAGATGGCACCAAGCAACAAGAAAGCTGTAATAGGCACCACTGACGGGTTGGTAGCGACTTGGTAAATCAGGTACACGATATACATGACAATGACAGGCTGGACAATAGTGCTCAGAAGATCGATGAAGACAACGAAACGCATACTGAAACAACAGAAACCGCAAAGCTGGGCCAAGGGAATAAGCTCAGCCAAGTTATGCACGGTAGAGTTGATCCAACGTCGTCGCTGAGACAGGAAGACAGACCAAGAGTCAGGGGCAATAGTCCAGGCCTGTGCGCTGAAGAGGTACTTTGTCTTGTACTTGGAGTGATACTTGAGGAGCAAGGTTGTGAGATATCGATCCTCACCAAGATGGAGCAAGTTCTTCATGTGCAGAGTATCAACACGAATCGTGGAGTAGTCTTCAACGATCTCCTTGCTGACGAACAAAGGCTTGCCGGTCTCCGCAGCGCGAATTCGGTACATGGAGAAACAACCAGGCAAACAAGTGACTGAGCCGAACAAACTCTCGAATGCCTTGGACAAATTGTGTGAAATCCAGTACTCGTAGACCTGAATCATAGTGATGAAAGAGCCCTTGGCGTTGGTGAGAGCGGTTTCACCACAGCAAGCAATCAAGCGAGTATCATCGATGAAGGCTGAAATCATTCGAGTAGCTGAGTCTGGAGCGACGACAGTATCGGCATCAATTTGGAAGAGGTATTCGTAGAAGGTTGGGTTGACGCCAATAATGTTGCGGATCTGGTGATACATCTCCAACTCCATGGGGCTCATGGCAAGGTTGTAGTGGACGCGGTTCAGGAAACGCATGAGAACCATCTGGGAGTCTCTCTTACCACGGTTACCGGGGCGAGAGACCTCAGAAGGCTTGCCAACCTTGACAATGACCATAAAGGGGACGATGTGGCCTTGGACTTCGTAAAGACCCGAGTAGATCTTACCCATGTTGTGCTGTTTCATACCCTCGCCGAGAGCCTCGAAGCTGAGAGGCTCAGGGTCGACGGTCTCAGAGACACCAAGAATATCCAACACAATGCGAGGCGTAGGCCTGTCGTTACCTTGACCGATAATCATACCGTCACAGACAACGACGAGAAGCTTTCGCTTATCATCATACTTCATGCGAGAAAGCGAGTCAATAGCACGGCGCAACGAGTCTTCATCTTCGGTATAAGCGGGAATCATACACATGACGAACTTGTCGAGGTTCTCGGGCACGTTCTTGCCACCGAATTGGAGTGCAGCCAGGAACTTGAAGACCAGGATAGATGCGAGCATGACTGAAATAGCCAAGATGAAGTATGTAGCGAACTGACAGCGGGTGGAGTTTCGAGTATCTGAGTCACCAATGTAGAAGAGGTTGTTCAGGCAGGTCTCCATGCGTTGTTTCTTGACAGGGCTGAGCTTGATGTTATCCCAGTACTTGGAAACATCCTGGCCCTTTGCACTTCGGAACAGCTGGACGACACTGTCCTCCATGAAGTCTGTGGCACCTGGGATGTTGGGAGTAGGCTTGCCAGCCTTGGCCTTGAGACGGAGACCACCCTGGAGGTACTTGGTCATGTCGTAGACCTTTCCGTGGATAGTGACAACGTTCCAGGAACTGTCTCGGGCCAACTTCTTGACATATTTAGGGCTGTAACCCATGCGACCCTTCAGGTAAACATGCTTAAAGGTGTACATTTGCTCGAAGTACCAATCAGGTCGACTGTCGTTGGTGTAATAACGGAAATCGTGGTAGACGGAGTTGACATCAATATCTCTGGAAGCAAGAAGCTGGGGCTGACCGGTGATGTTGGTGTTTCGGTTGTCGAGAGTGACCTCAGGAGGGATCTGACCGTCTTTGCCCTGGCACAGAGCAGACACTTGGATGGGGAAAAGAGCGCTGATATCCTTGCCGGCATAGTTCAAGAGAGTATCCTCACTGACAAGGTTGCTGCCAGGATAATGGTTGGGAATGAAGGCATTGAGGTCAATAACGAAACCGCGGATAGCAACGTAGGCGCCCTTGCTGCCCTTGTCACCGTCGTAGGAAGAGAGTTCGTTGGAGCTGTAGACATACTGCTTGGGGCAAATGAGCGTGGGGAATCCGACCATGAAGAAGGCGGCAACCGCACACATCAACCAAATGAGCATGTTGATCGCCACCTTTTCTCTCCAGGCCATACGAACATCCTTTCGAGGCATACGTCCGATCAGTCTGATGGCGAAGTCGGGGATGAACCAAGTGAGGAAGAAGACGAGAGCCACCCAACGCTTGCGGCTAGGCTTATCTCGGTACTCCTCAACCTCTTCGAGAGACTTCTCATTGCCTCGTTCAGCCATCTGCTCACGTGTGTCGAGGTTCTTGAACATGTCACCACCACCAAAGGCAGAAACACCAGCCTCGGATCGAGTGTCGTCGGTGAAGTAACCACCCTTGGCCTTCTCACCGTACATGAGAGGGGTGTTACCACCAGAAACCAAATGCTCCTTGGAGGCGCCGAAAGCCATAGACTCAGCAGGTGTGAGACCATCGCCAGCATCGGACGAAGGCAAGCCACCGTAGCGACCAGAAACTGACACTGCCTCGCCGAGCTGAGCAATCTCCATCCAACAGCGTTCACTAAGGAAAACACCAGTGGCACCGACTCTGACTTCATTCTGGGGCCACTGCTTCTCCTCAATAACCATCTCAGCACGTTCTCGTTCACTGCCAACCAAGATTGTCTCCGCATCTGTCATACCCAGAAATTCGCCGAAAGGCAAGAATAAACTGAAATCGGCAGATCGAAGACGTTGGCTGATTTCCGCAATACCAAAAGTTTGGACCTGCATACGAACGCACTTACTGTCAAACTGGTTCGCAATTCGTCGATCGTTGGGCTTCAAGCAAAAGACGAAGTATGAGTTGGTACCGGGGTCAGTGACAGCCTTCTGGACATTGTCCAGCGAGGCAAGGAACTGGCCTGAAGCACCTTGATCGAGAGTCATCTTGGCATTCTTCTTAGACTCTCCCGCCTGGCTCTGCTGATCTAACTCCTCCATTGCCTCTTGTTGCTGGCGCTTGTAAGCTGTGCTGGGGCGACCAGTTCGGTGCGTCTTCCGAGACATGACACTAGGCGCTCGCATAGGCTTTGAGCTGACGGTAGCCTGCATAACAGTAGTGCGTTCGTTGGGGTGGGTGACGGTCTGAAGAGCGTCTTGGCCGAAAAGGCGAGCAACGAACTCGCTCTTAGTACCGTTGATCATATTGAGAAGGTCACCAGAGATGATTTCGCCGTTCTCTTCTATGAGTCCCTTGACAGGGTAATCCACCTCACCAGCAAAGTGCTTCACGGTGAAGACGGCAGAGGTGTTCTCAGTCAGGAAGTTGCTTCCAGGAAGCTTAGCTTGAGCGGAGCCAACCTCGATAGCAGCGTTCTTTCCATCGAAACGTCTTCGGAGAGCCTCAAGAAATTGCATATCTGTTCGGTTTCGTCGAGTTTGGTCATCAAGAATGCTAAGAAGACCGTTGCCAGGCTTCAAGATGCCTCGAACAGCGTCCGAGTTGTCGAAATAGCTGGTCGCAGCAACGCTGACTTCCTCGGACTCCAGCATGTCAGCCTTGCGGTCGAAAAAGTTCTGAAGAGTAAGGTTGTAGATGCATTCGGTAGCAGCATTGTTGAGAAGTTGGTCGAGTGCGGAGCCAGTTGGAGTTTGCTGGCAGAAACCGGGGAAATCGACAATCGAGACAGTGTTGGCAATAGACTC